TTCTAACTGTCAGGAGATTTCTCTTTAGTTCTAGGTTGCTTCTCCTTGATTAGTTTCCATCCATTGCTTCTTGTCCTGCCTTCAGGCACTTTATTGGATTTATATCCTGCTTTTTCTTCAAGGAGCACAAGTAATAAAGGGAATAAAACTGATAACTTCATTTCAATCTTATCCTCCACTCAAAGCAAAAGAAAAATGGTATCAATTACATTTCACTCACTGTTATTCACAATTCTGCCACTGTAAAAAGGCTGTTCAGTGATAATGTTTTCATTTCTCAGTTTTTGAAGTGTGGAAAAGTTAAAGAAAGCTATTGGCAGATTCTCCTATTTTTTTTATCCTTTACCACTGAATACCATCAATCAATCTCTTTAACATGTGCTGGGGCAAAGATCGGTGAAAAGAGGCAACTGCTTAGAACAGCTAGTTTAGTCAACTCTTACTATCACCAACTAAGATTGAAGACATGGAGGTGTTCCATGCCTGTTACCTGTTAGTTCGGACTTTTTCCAAATATTGATTCAGTGCTTTTCTGAAGAAGCGCTAAATCATTGTTAAAAAAATAGTTTGGCTGGCAGGTTATACGTGTGGATAGGTGAGGAAGAACTGAGAGGGAGTAATCCATGATGAATGAGCTGTGTCCTCAACTAGTCCTGGAAAGAAATGGCACTAGTGTGAATAAACAGTCACAGCCAGCAGCACATGTAATATTCTGAGAGGTGGCAAAATGCTATTAACCACAAAGAAATAAAACTAGTAAGAAGGCTGTCCAAAGTCAGTACACACTCACTGGTATCAGAACTAGTAGCAAAGATTGGTAGAGTTAGCTCTCTTTCCTAGTTTTAGTTGACCATCTTCTGAAGACTTATGCTTAGCCTTGGGTTTTTTTTTAAACAGAGGCCTTCTGCTCTTTTTTCTCAAAGAGTAGACATCCATAAGGAATTCGTGTAAGACCTGACAAATATTTTGGAAACTGGCCATCAAACATTCTGTCAGAGGTCCCCAACCTTTTGGGCACCAGGGACCGGTTCCATGGAGAAAGATTTTTCCATGGACCAAAGAATGCGTGGTTTTGTGTGCTGCCTGCATCCCATGGATGCGGCTTTGCTTGTTTGAGCAGACTGGTTGCTGGCATGCCACAGCCTGGTATAGTCCACAGACCCGGGGTTGGGGACCCCTGCACTATCTGGTAGATAATTTTGCAGAAGCCAATATCTGATGTCTCTTGCAATAGAAGCCAAACTGGCTATGGTGAACAGTATGCAGAGTCAGGAGGAAAACAGTCATGCTAATGGTGACTTACAGAACTTAAGCAGATCATTACTCCTGGTGTATAATCAACCACACTGTTGATAAAGTATTCTAGATGTATCCATTGGCAATTATTCTGGAAGCAGTGAAAAACATTAAAACCAGATGTCTAAAAGTGACTGAGGATAAGTTGAAGGCAGTGTCAGGAGAACATGAGAAAAAAATTGAGCCTGCAACCATTTTATGAAGTCTTTTAGGCTGGGAGATAGTGACTGTTCATATATCACTTCACAAACTCTACTTCCATATGATGAGTTTTCTGCCTCCTGGTTTGTGATTCTGGGATTAGGCAATCAGGAAAGCCCAAAACTGGAAAAAGCTGGCATATACCTTCTAATGTTGTAGGACCAAATTCAGTAGATTGTATTAATGGTGTCAGAATTGAGAACCACCCTCTAACAATATATCATTAGAGAACAGCTGATAATCTTGTTCACATATCTCTGTGTGAATCATTTAAAAATGTACCTTGAACAAAGTTTTTCCTAACTCTTTGTCTTTTTCCATTCTCTCTTCTCTTGATTTTCTTATGCATATAAAACATGTTTTTTTAAAAAAGACAGTAAAACTATCACAAGGCATCAAAGATCTAATACAGTAACTTGGCTTCACATTATTTATTTAGCTAATGCTTTGATTATGAAAAGCTAAGTCTATAGAGAAGGCCTTGTTACAGAGGAAAGCATAATTTATTTTAAAGGTCTGAACATAGTGTTTCATTTCATTATTTCATGTAATATGTGGGTTCCATTTATAATTTTTTTAAGCGTGATTGGAGTGGGGAAGTATTAGAATCACTTGGAAAGAGAATTAATATGTTCATTAGCCAAATTTGCTTTTGAGTTTTGCAATCCTATAAACCTGATACAAGACATATATACCCTTATTAATCTAGGAATCATGGTCTCCTAGTTACAGTTTGAAACATTCAAATATGTATATCACAAGGATCATATTTCTCACTGATCTGCAAATACTTAACATTGTATGGCACAATAGTAAGCACAATAAATAACCATTTGAGAATATGGATTGCTAGTTATGTAAGTCAGTTATTTTAAGCACAAATTTATTTTATAACATTTCTGTATTTACATATTGTTTCAAAAACTAGAATGCTATTAATTATGATAAAAAAAGTTGCATATAATAAAACTGGTTTCATCAGGAAATTTTTGGGAACACCAAAAATTGGCATATTTTCAAAAACCTATGTTTTATGAGTTTTTGCATGCCACCATTTTTCTTTTTTAATATTTTAACATTAAATAAAATATTTACTATCGGACATGTTCATGCAATTGTGCCCAATATCACTGCACTGGAATCCACTCATCTGTTATCCTGAAGCTTCTGGTTATTCCTATGTTTCTAAAACTAGTTAGATACAGGTAAGTGTTCGACTTATAACAGAAAGCGGTGAATGCTCCAACACTGGAAGTTTTTAAGAAGAGACTGGACAGCCATTTGTCTGAAATGGTATAGGGCAGTGGTGGCGAACCTATGGCACGCGTGCCAGAGGTGACACTCAGAGCCCTCGTTGTGGGCATGCACGCACGCCATTGCCCCAGCCCCATCTCCCCCTGCTGCCCCCTCACCAGCAGCCCCCCAGAGGATAGTTTCCCCCGGGCACGGCCCCCGTGGAGCAGCGCAGCCAAGGACATGGCAGCCGGGCAGCAGGGACAAGACTCCGCCCTTGAGCTCCTTCACATGGAGATGATGCTGCGGGGTGCGGGTGGAGGGCATGGCTGCCATGGTGCTGCAGGGCTGCCTGGGCAATCTGCTGTGGCAGGCCGTGAAGGTGGTAGATCTCCCTACAGGTGGGTGTGGTGGGGGCAGGGTGGGGGCGGAGCGGGGCGGGGTGGGGAGGGTTTTGGGAACTCGGTCTCTGAAAGGTTCACCATCACTGGTATAGGGTTTCCTGCCTGAGCAGGGGGTTGGATTACATGATCTCCAAGGTCCCTTCCAACTTTATTATTATTATTATTATTATTATTATTATTATTATTATTATTATTATTATTATTATTATTATTATTATTATTATATGGGACCTAAGAAAGCACTTGTTAAATTTTATTTATTTATTTATTTATTAATAAAATTTATACGCCGCCCAATCCCTAGGAACTCAGGGCAGCGTACAAAATTAAAACAATAAATATAACAATAAAAATGAGTGCATTCATACAGCATGTCCCAATCGTGTCCCGCCCCCCCCCGGCGACATCAACCCCAGGCCTGCCGGAACAGGAGAGTTTTAATGGCTTTCTTGAAGGCCAGCAAGGTGGGAGTAGTTCAAATCTCGGGGGGAAGTTGATTCCACCACGTCGGAGCCACCACAGAAAAGGCCCTTCCCCGAGGGCCCACCAGCCGACATTGTCTGGCCGACGGGACCTGAAGGAGGCCCAATCTGAGGGACCTCACTGGTCTCTGGGAACTATGCAGCAGTATGCGGTCCTGTAAGTAACCTGGTCCTAAGCCATGAAGGGCTTTAAAGGTGATAACCATCACCTTGAATTGCGTCCAGAGACCCACAGGAAGCCAGTGCAGCTCGCGGAGGATAGGTGACACGTGGGTGTACCTTGGTGCACCCACAATCACTCTCGCGGCTGCATTCTGAACCAACTGCAGCCTCTGAACGCTCTTGAAGGGTAGCCTCATGTAGAGCGCATTACAGTAATCCAGTCTTGAGGTGACAAGGGCATGAGTAACCGTGAGTAGAGCCTCCCGGTCCAAATAAGGCCACAACTGGTGCACCAGGCGAACCTGGGCAAAGGTCCCCCTGGCTACAGCCGATAGATGTTGTTCTAAATTTAGCTGTGAATCCAGGAGGACACCCAAGTTGCATGCCTGCACTGAGGGAGGTAAGTTAACCCCCCCAGGACCAATGATGGACCATCAGGATGACGCTTGGGGGGCAAGACCCAGAGTCACTCGGTCTTGTCAGGGTTGAGTCTAAGCCTGTTCACCCCCATCCAGATCCTCACATCTTCCAGGCACCGGCACATCACGTCAACTACTTCACTGAAAGGACACGGGGTGGAGATATACAATTGGGTATCATCGGTATACTGATGATACCTCACCCTGTGTCGCCGAATGATCTCACCCAGCGGTTTCATGTAGATGTTAAAAAGGAGGAGGGACAGGACCGAGCCCTGAGGCACCCCATAATCGAGGCGCCTAGGGGTCAATCTCTGTCCGCCCGCCAACACCGACTGTGACCTGTCAGAGAGGTAGGAGGAGAACCACTGCAATACAGTGCCGCCCACCCCCACAACTGATTTTATAACCGTTTTTTGCCATAGTTGTTAAGTGAATCATTGCAGTTGCTAAGTGAATCATGTAGTCATTAAACAAATCCGGCTTCCCCCAATGACTTTTCTTGGGAAGGTCACAACTGGGTATCCCATGACTCCAGGATGTTGCAAACATCATAAAATCAGGTCATTTTCCAAGATCCTGAATTTTGATCATGTGATCGTGGGGATGCTGTACTGTAAGTGCAAGGCCTGGTTGTAAGTCACTTTTTCAATGTCATTGTAACTTTGAACACTCACTAAACCAGGGGTCTTCAAACTTGGCCCTTTTATGACTTGTGGACTTCAACTCCCAGAATTCCTCAGCCAGACACACTGGCTGAGGAATTCTGGGAGTTGAAGTCCACAAGTCATAAAAGGGCCAAGTTTGAAGACCTGTGCACTAAACGAATGGTTGTAAGTCAAGGACTATCTGTACTTATACAAATAATGGAAAATTGCAGCCCATGTGAGTGTTAAAATAATATTGAACTCTGTCAATGGAATGGAACAGGCCACCAGCTTATCTTTTGCAACAAAAGATAATTTTTGCAATATGTGAAAACAATGGTGTTTGATTTAGTTATAGTGCAATTCTACATGGAAATAATGTAGCTGGCAACATTGTGTAATTGTGTGAAAGGTTGCAGTTTTACAGAACTATATAAACTCTCCAGTCCTGCTACCATGAACTTAGCAATATGGGAGAGACAGAGGAATGTCTTTTCCTCATTTTTTTTGTTCCTGGAATTATTGTTTTATTTTATAGATAGCTTTGCATTGAAACTGATTTAAGGAATTTATTAGTCTTAATGGATAGCTGGCACATCTAGAATCTAGGAAGACTAGATGGACTTACTTCTGTGGCACCTCTTGTTATTGGGAGGGTGATATCTCCCAAAGTCAAAATAATAATGTTAACAATAATAATGCAAGAGGTGTGTGGATATACTTCTCTTCCAAGAATAAAGAATAGGAGAACAGAGGATATAGTTAATGTTCCAAAAGCAAACATTATGTTTTTAATAATATTTATCAGTTGCCTTTCAATCTCAAGGCACGCTAGGGGAATATACAAAATTATAAATTGGTAAGAAAAACTGTATAATTCTAAAAGTTAGTACACTACACTAGACTCCAACAAAGTGGTGAATAAGAAAAAAGCAGAGAAGTATTTTAATTGAAGAGCAACTAAAATTGCAATATAAGCTGCCCCCTCTCCCTCCTTCCCTTCCTCCCTTCCTGTCTCTCAGGACTGGAGCCTAGGTTGGGGAGTCAAGAAAAATCTTGGAAAAAGTCAAGGGCAAACAGCCATATTGCTACCAAGAAAACTCATGAACATATTTATGAGCGCACTAGGAACTGAACTTCTCTTGCAGGAAACCTTATTACATAGATTTCCAGCATAAATTCAGGATTGTTTTTAAATTATTCTTCCCCTAAACTGGTGGCCTCCAAGTGTGTTACAGCTACCATGTTGACTGGGAGCTCTGGGAGTTGTGGTCCAAAATATCTGGAGAGTATTCAGTTCTGGAAAGTTGTTTTTAAGCAAATGCAAGCCAAACACTACAGCTTTGCCTCAGTGCAAATTTTCTTCTTTCAATTTCAGCCATTTTCCAATCAGTGCATATAAACCTGTGCTTTTTCTTCATTGGGGGACTTCTTTCTTTTCTTCATGTTCTTGTATCATTTTTAATCTTTTTTCTAGCATTGCTTTCCATTCGTCTCTGAGTCTGTTTGGAAAAAAGGCAGTTGGTTAGCATAGGGAATGCTTAACCAGCAGGAGTCTTGCTTTGGCCAAATCAATGGAGAATACATTCTTTCTATTTTAATTTCCCAGAACCAGGAAAGGTTGGGCTGCTAGCTACAACTGATTTTTAAAATTTCTCTTAAAACCTTTCTAGTCCTATATTTTTTCAATCAATTCTTGCTTCTCTCAACTGGTTATATCATCTTAGATAGAATATAAGGACATTTGTTGTAGTGGTTAAGGCATCAGGCAAGAGACTGGGAGACCATGAGTTCTAGTTCCACCTTAGACACAAAGCGAAATTAGTAACTTTGGGCCGGTCACTCTCTTTCAGTCTTAGGAAGCAGGCAATGGCAAATTACTTCAAAAACCTTTTGAAGAAAACTGCAGGAACTAGTCCAGGTAATTACCAGGGGTCAAAAATGGACTTAAAGGAGAAAGAAAAAAAGAAAGAAAGAAAGAAAGAAAGAAAGAAGAAAGAAAGAAAGAAAGAAAGAAAGAAAGAAAGAAAGAAAGAAAGAAAGAAAGAAAGAAAGAAAGAAAGAAAGAAAGAAAGTCCAGATCTTCCTCTCCATTGGAAAACACTGCTGGGCCTGAAAAATCTTGATATTGCCATTGTGGGGAATGTAGTGCTATATTTTCTTTCTCTGAAGTCAGAAATTGCCTGGTTCCTTTCTCACATATCTCCTGCATATATTGTTTATGAAATTTACGAACAAACAAAATCAAACACAAATGGTCACCTATGTACTCACTTACTTAGTCAATGCACTTTTCTGTAGACGGTCTTTCTCAGCTTTCAGATGTTGAGTTTGCTTCTCAATGGTTTTTTCCCAGAAGATTTTCAGCTCACCAGTCTCACAGGCAAGGACTTCATAGCGAAAATATTGATTGTTCATTTTCTGTAAAGGAGAAAGAGAAAAATTTCCCCACCCCAAGTTAGAAGTTAAAAAACTGCTTCACTCTTCCATAATGTCACTATTATTGTCCAAGGCACTCATAATTTTCACAGAAATGTATTAGGTTATTTTTCATTCCTAAAGCTCTTAAGAATTGTGATCTATAATTGTTCATTTAGTAGAGGCTGTGATTAAAAAAACAAACCCTCCATCTTTTGTTTCCATTCCATTCCATTCCATTTCAAGTTTTGCCATCATCCAATTACAATACCTTCTAAAAAGAAACCAGATTACATAATTAGGATTCCATAAGATTTGTCCCTATTATAACTAGACTATTAGATCATAGCAGAAATCTAAATATTCAAAACCTATGATTCTGGAGAATATTCTGCCATTTTTGTACTCCAAAATTGTCAGACAAGAGAAGAAAGGAAGAAACAGCAAGTTAGAAGATTTTTTGTGTTTTGTTTTTAAATGAAGCTTGATTTCTCATGGGAAATTGACACTCTGGAACAACCATAGGGAAATTGAGAATCAAATTAATGGACAGAAATGATGCTAATATTTTAGGTCACCTTATTTTTAACCAGCCTTCCAAAACATTTGCACTCCTGAAGCTGCTGAATGGTATATTCAGCTAAATATCTTTTGATTACAGAATTTGCACCAGTTGCACTCCTAAACTGTTATTTTTACTTGTGAAAAAAAATTGTGATGATTCTAAACCTTCAGTTTTATGACGGTACACATGATAACTTATGATAGTAGACATGATAATTTACAAGAAAATTAAAGCACTGAAATATTCTGTTTTACATGTCAGTGGGGTAGCACATCAAAAAATGCTAAATATGTCTCTTTTGATCATAAAAAGCATTTCATCAAACAGAGGATTCTTTGTCAAGTGTATTGCATTGTACTGATTGTTTTGTCATCATTCTTGCATGCCAGGGACATTGCTGTGATGTGTGAAGCCGGTCAATGAACTGAAATGGTTTTGCTGAAGCAGGGATGGTTGAATGCCAACTTCATTAATAAAGGACATCTTCAGTGTATGGCAGGACATTGGTAATCTACTAGTAGAGATGTCAGTTTGAAAACTGGCCTTATATTTAATGACTTTCTACTTTCTCCAGATTACTCTTCTTTAATGTTTTAGGTTTTAAGGACAAACTATATGTGTAACATGATGGTGCTATATCCTTCTACCTTGTAATTACTGATAAGAGTTAGGGTCAGAGTTAGGCTCATAGCACATGACAAAGGAAAATTTAAACTTCCCATGTGTAAAAAATTTCATTATCATCATCATTCTAGCCATTATGTATCCATTGCAGGATGAAGGCCTCTTCTGCATGTTTCTAACCAATACGGTCCTGAGCTTTTGTTTGCCAATTGCGCCCGCAATACTTGCTGATGTCATCAATCTTGTCTCTTTCATGGACACTTTTTATCAAATGGGATCAGTGATGGGATTCAGCTGGTTTGCACCGTTTCGGCAAAACTTATACCTATTTTTTTGTTGAGTTCGGCCAAACGGTTATGATAAATCTGTGTTTTCTGGAACATGTCTGGTTTTCGTTCAACTTCCTTCCAGGCAGGGAAAAAAAAACCCTCCCCAAATGTCCAAGAGAGGAGCAATGGAAACCAAATGGAGACAACAGCACCTTTGATCATGTCACTCAGCAAAAACTGGGTGGTGCTTCTCAGAGGTAATTTCAGGAATAGACGCTTCATCTCTCTAGTTTCCCGATTGGTGCTTACGGGAAAGGGGACAAGGCCACCAAGTATTAGCTGGGATTGTGACTAAGAGAACTGGTTGTTAAATTATTTGAATCCCACCACTGAGTGGGATCTATTCTGTGACTGGCTAGATCCACCGGCCACTAGTTCTTCTTGTTATGTGACCAACTCATTTCCATTTCAATTCTTTTAATACAATTTCAGTTCTATTAATATAATTTCAATTCTATTACTTTTATTGGCAGGAATAGCCAACACTCCAGAAGATAGGCTTAAGATACAGAAGGATCTTGACAGACTTGAACATTGGGCGCTATCTAACAAAATGAAATTGAATGGTGAAAAAAGTAATGTTCTACATTTAGGCAAGAAAAACCAAATGCACAGGTATAGTATAGGTCATACCTATATTATAGTAGTACTATGAAAAGGATCTTGGAGTCCTAGAGAACAATCACTTAAATATGAGCCAGCAGTGTGCTGCAGCTGTCAAAAAAGCCAATACAATGCTAGGCTGCATTAATTTCAAGATCACATGAAGTATTAATACCATTTTACAATGCCTTGGTAAGGCCACACTTGGAATACTGCATCCAGTATTGGTTACCACGATGTAAAAAAGATGTGAGTAGAACATCTAGAAAGAGTACAGAGAAAAGCAACAAAGATGATTAGGAGACTGGAGGGTAAAACATATAAAGAGCGGTTGCTGGAATTGGGTATGTCTAGTTTAATGAAGAGAAGGACAAGGGGGGACATGATAGCAGTGTTCCAATATCTCAGGGGTTGCCACAAAGAAGAAGAAGTCAAGCTATTCTCCAAAGCACCTGAAAGCAGAACAAGAAGCAACGGATGGAAACTAACCAAAGAGAGAAGCAACCTAGAACTGAGAAATTTCCTGTCTGTTAGAACAATTAATCAGTGGAACAACCTGCCTCCAGAAGCTGTGAATGCTCCAACACTGGAAGTTTTTAAGGAGAGACTGGACAGTCATTTGTCTGAAATGGTATAGGGTTTCCTGCCTGAGCAGGGGGTTAGACTAGATGACCTCCAAGGTCCCTTCCACCACCACCATCATCACCATTACCACCACCACCATCATCACCACCACCACCACCACCACCACCACCACCAGCATCATGTAAAAGATTATAAGAAGTGTCAAGAAGGAAATAGCACCTGATTCTAATCCTAATTAGGAATCTGCTATTTCTTAATCAATATAAAGGTAAAAACATGTCCTTGAGAAAATAAAAACCCATTTAACAAACTAGTATTGTGTTATAGTTGTCACAAATATTTTCAAATGATTAGTTTTTTAAAAATTTAGCAGTATAATTGCTTACTTCTTTATATATATGATCTAGAAACACTATTTTATGAAAAAATATTGCTAGAATAATAAAAGCACGAGAGCTAGCTTGATTACACTGTAGTTTGAAGGAGATCAAGAGGCCACTTGGGGACTACCAGTCATGAAATTGAGATCTTAGGAGGTGGGTTGTTTTATTAGGAGATAATTTTTACTGAATGCTCATTAGTGTTTTTTCTGAATGACAAAATGTATTGATTTCTCAATTTACCTTTGCAGTATGTAGATTAATTTCAAATTAGAGTGAAGAAGGTTAACATTTACTCATGAATGCAGTAAAAAGTATAATTTCCTTGGAAATGATAAGCCAATATGTTGCCTACTTTTCTAATGTTATTTCTTTGGCAATCACTTCTAGGCAAATACTGTTCTATATCAGGACAAAAAGAATGCATAGGAGTGCACATCATCACCATCTCTTCTTTCTGCTTCCTGCTCCTGATTGGTTAATGGCTCTGCAATCAAACCATTAATAAAGTGAGAAATTATCCTAAGGTTTGTTATAACAATGCTTGTTTGCCACACAATAGTTCTCAGTTTATTTGTGTGTATATAGAACAGCTTTCCACAAGATAAATTGGATCGCAGCTCTCATATTTTATAGTAAGCATGCAGTTAACACAATTGAACAGAGTAGCTAATGCTTTCAAAGTTAGGATGACATTCAAACTTATTTTGCTAAACAATATCCAAGAGGCACTTTAGAGAGGATTCAAAGAAATTGGAACATGTTCAGAGAAGGGCAATGGGCATGATCAGGGAACTAGAAATTAAGCCCTCTAAAGAGTGATTCACAGAGCCTTCAATGGTTGAGAAAAGGCAGCTAGAATGAAGGAACACCTCTAATAGTCAAAGGATATAAAAGAAAAGAAGTATTAGGAATTGTTGTCACTTATACCATAGCTCAGGACAGACAACAGTGGGTTTAAATTGGATGAAGGTGGATTTTGATTCTGTGTTAGACAAAAACTACCTGACAATAAAAGCAGTTCAACAAAGAAACCACTTATCCAGAGATGATGGCCTTGCTTTCCATGGATATGTTTAAAGTAGGAGAATTGAACACGCTTTTGGTCTGGGGATCTTTAATTTGGATTTCTGCAATCAGCAGGAGGTCAGTGCCTTAGATTAGGGGTGTCCAGCCTTGGCAACTTTAAGACTTGTGGACTTCAACTCCCAGAATTCCCCAGCCAGCAAACTTAAAGTTGCCAAGGTTGGACACTCCTGCTCCCTTCCTGTTCAGCACTTGGGATTAAATTCAAAGGACTGAATCATAAAATCAGAATGATTTTGACTTCAACACTCTGCAGTAATCAGGAATCCCTTAAAGGAATGCTTTTCAATCTTTTCACAGATTGTACCACTTTTAAAATATGGCAATATTCGAGTATCACCAGTTGCCTAGCAAGGTGTCAAAAACTTGATGACCCCCCCCCAAAAGGAAAAAGGTGATAAAGTACAGGTAGTCCTCAACTTATAACTGTTCACTTAGTGACTGATTGAAGTTACAACAGCACTGAAAAAAGTGACTTATGATCATTTTTCACACTTATGACCGTTGCAGCATTCCCAGGATCACGTGATTTACATTTGGATGCTTCGCAACTGATTCATATTTACGATGGTTTCAGGGTCATTTGATCTTCTTTAGCATCCTTCTGACAAACAAAGTCAATGGGGAAACAAGATTCACTTAATAAGCTTGTTACTAATTTAACAACTCCAGTGATTCACTTAACAAATGTGGCAAGAAAGATCATAAAGTGGGACAAAACTCATTTAACAAATTTCTCACTTAGCAACATAAATTTTGGGCTCAATTGTGGCCATAGGTTGAGGACTATCTGTAAATCCACTTATCACACTTTTAATAGGAAACTTATGC